TTTGAATTTGAATTATAATAATAATAGGTATCAAATATGATATATTATTTGAATTTTTATTTTCGTTTATTAATTTAATTATTTATTAATATGGTGAATAGATATCTGCAGAAGTACAAGCATATTTTTATAAAAGCGTATTGTATTTTATAAATCATTAAATAAAAATGTGATTACTGGATATTAGGTAACATAAAGGTATACTCAGTAAATTCATCAAATTTACAGTATCGGCTATAATACCAACTAGATTCTAAAATTTCAAATCTAACATTTTCTACGAATACTGCTGATCACAAAATTATTAATTATTATTCAATATTATGAAAATTTTAATTGTATCGGGGACCTATAATTTGTATTTTAGATTCTGAGTGGAACGATGAATATTTTGATTTTACTATGATGTGTATTTAATTTTTAATTTTTTTTTTTTATTATTTCTTTGTTGTGTTTAATGTGTACACGATAAGTAGGTAGTCAAATTCGACCTTCGTTTTCCATGCATAATATATTATAGGTACTCTGTATGTAATCAATGATCATATTGTTAATTTTTAATTCAATTTTTGTAGAAAAGTGTTTTGTGTAGGCATAATAAATGTTACATTAAAATTTTAAAAATTCAAAAATTAGAATATAGGCACTAAAGTTTCCAGCTTCTACTACAACATTACGTTATATTATGTTTTTAATTATTAAAATGACTAAAAAGTAAACGTAAATCCCAAAATAATATGAAAACAAACTTACGCTGAAACATCGACTCTTCCGGTGAAACCTAGAGTGCATCAAACGTCCAGTAAGTGAAGCCACCGAAAAAACAGCTATCTTCATCCGTCTTCATCTCGTTCCGAACTGTAACTTGAAACTATCGAAATGTTTCATGAAAATTACCTGAACATAACGAAACGTGCGAATTCGTGTTAAAACTTACATTATAATATATACTGCTTAACGAACTATCTGTATATTATATTGATGGCTTATTTTTTTTTTCACTTAAATTATTAGAATTGTTAATAGTCGCAGAGGAATATCGACAATTGGCGATTGCCATAGATGATATAAAATATATTATTTAATATGATAAATCCATAGAACTTCTACACTCAACACATACATACACGGTCTATTGATACACCGTGTGTTCTTTTACAGAAATCTTTGTGGTCTGCAATGTATTCTTGTTTTCTATTTCAGTTATTATCGTATACTAAATTTAACCAAACTAATTAGTCCACAAGTTTATAGACATCACAAATATATACTATAAATAGAGTATATTATTATAATTTATATACACGAATACACTATGACACTTTTAAATGTAATTTTTTGGGCAAAAATGACTATAACCTACTGCTGTACTAATGCTTAATAATCTGCAGTCTGCACTTTGTTCCGGTGATTTTACACGTAATATAATAAAATTGATACTAGTGATTTGTACCCGATTGTTAATTCAATTATTTACAAGATTTCAATAAAAAAATATCTATGAAGTATAAACATCCGCATTTCTATTAACTATAAATTCTTAATTGTATGAGCCATACATATTACATATATTTTTCGAAAAAATTATTTAATGTCTCACGGGTTGATCTAGCAACTGACTGCTACGACAACTGTACAATTTTTTTAAGCATAATCCGTTTTGATAACATCCAGAAAAGAGTTCGTCTTAAGACTGTCTGTCTTGATAACAACTAATTTAATTTAAAGTGTATTGTTATATTATATGATAATGGAAAATAATAATTATAGTAAAATATATAATTGCAAAACATTTAATATCTAGCTATATAGGGTATAAACTACACTACAAAATTTGTGAGTATGCTAATAAAATACAAGAGGTTTATAATGTATTTATGTATATAAAATATAAAGATTGATAACATTATATTGTTTTAAATACTTCACGCAAAACCTAAGGTGATACCCGGCTTATAGTATACCTATGCAAAAAGGCACTTATTAAACTTGGAGTAGTGAAACGAAGACGGACTTTGGACTTTTCGGTCTCGCGTATTTTATACATGGTGCTTTTAGGATTAAACTTATAAATGCTTCTACGTCACCCAGTTAACAGATTGTCCGTTGCAATAAATATTTAATTTAAGTCTTAAAGTAAATGTAAAATACTAAAATAGTAATAATATGAAAACAAACTTACGAGTAAACATCGACTCTTCCGGTGAAATTTAGCTAGAGTGCCGTTGTCGCCGAAAAAACGGCTATCTTCATCCATCATCATCTTGCTCAGAACTGAAACTTGAAAGTATCGAAATATTTAATGAAAATAATCTGACCATAACGAAATGTGTGAATTCGTGCTAACAAACTGTCCGTATAATAAATTGATCGCTTTTTATTTTTTTGTTCACTGAAATTATTAGAATTGTTAATCGTCGCCGACGAATGTCGACAATAATTGACGATAGCCATAGATAAAATATATTATTTTCTATGATAAATCCATAGAACTTATATACTATGCTAAGTACCTAAACGGTCTTTGGTAAATCGTACGTACTTTTACAGAAATTTTTGTGATCAGCAATGTACTTATTCTGGTTTTCTATTTCATTCATAGTTCGCATGCCAAATTTAACTATACGAAACTGGTCCACAAATGTATAGACATTCTATTAAATTACAATGTGAAAGTACCACAAAGGAGACTTATAATAATAAGTCTCCTTTGTGGTACTTTCCAAAAATTCGACTACCGGGATATAAATTTAAAAAAAATGTGATTTAGGTAACCTATTGGCTATTGATTTATTATAAAATAGAAACTGAACCAACCAATAATATCACTATATAAAATAATTAAATGTGATAATTTGAAGACAATTTCTTAAAACCTCTAAAATATTTTTTTAATTTAGTGTTATAAATTTATAATCTAGTTAAGTGCTCAAGCAAATTTTTTAATTTTTTTTTTCGGTAACCCGTGTTTTGCGACCAGTTAAGATGTATATCTATGATGCAAAAATTAACTGCTGGAAATTATTAGTTTTTATGGTAAAGCTTTACAAAGTTCATGATTTTTGGTGTTTTAAGTGCTTGTAAAAATTTTGTTTTTTTAAAAAGAAAATCACCATCATTATTTATTTTTGTATAGGTACATAAAATATAAAAAATATTATATTATACATAGACTTCAGTTCCCCGCATACATTAAATGTGTCCGGGGTCCAAGAATCCTATTGCGGCACTGGTAGGTACCATCTATTAACTATTAAGTAGATATTACATGTATTTTTACTGTTATTAATTATTATTATATTTTGTATTATTCGAAAGTAGAAAGTTATTAGTTATGAAAAATCGATTTTCTTTTATAAATAGTATGTTTATTATTATTTATATTTGTTTCTTAATAATTAATAAAAGAACTCTTTTATAGTGAAAATTGATCATCATATTACTTGACCAAGGAGAAACAAAGTACATTTATACGTATCTATATATATAATCGCACTCTATTGCGTGTTTAAATGTCACGTTTCTTATATAATATAATAAGTACTGTTTCATCTGGTATCCACTGTATGTACCTATCTTGTTTGATCGACGTGTGATATGTGTCGCCGGTGTAACGACTCAAGCAATAATAATAGTAATTATTATTTTTACTATGTACAATCTTCTAAAACCTAACCTCGTTTGGAACTGTCAAACACTCAAACCGACGACGACGTTTGTGTGTCCACAACTCCGCCGCTACAAAATATAAGACACAAAGTAATATAATACGTTATCAGTATTTAATAGTTTAGGTACCTAAGTACCTATATAATTATTCGACCAGTACATGCAGAATATAGGTACCTAACCACCAAAACATTCGGGACCCGGTTTATTAGAAAATTCATCGTAACTTTGTCAAAAGCTGAAAATGTATTTTTTTATTCTGTAAAATCAAACACGGTGGTATCTTGTATAAAATATAGTTAAGTACCTACCTATTATTTTATACCGTTCAAATGTCCTTATGGTCACATATTTTTCAGTGTTTAACCAAAGCGTACATCAATAATATTCACATACCTAAATTATAAACGTCCGAGATGATTATTATTTCAATAGATCAATATATTATATAATTTAGTACGGACCTATTGACTATTACCTATCTAGTACATAGTAACTACATACCAACGTAAGGACTTGTTGCTTGATGGTGTTAAATATTTTCGGAGGTGGCCCACTGGCCCGCCTTAAATTTGGCACACTTAAAATAAATTGAAATGGTGTCTGTAGTCTGTTAGTAAATAACATAATATAAGATTATCTTTGGACGAATAATTTATAAATATCATCCATAATATAATTAGGTTTACAAATATATATTACCATTATTACCTGTTATATACAGAAGTACTATATAGGTACCTACATATTCTATTAATTACTAATTATTACTATACAGACATATACCTGAATATTACTTTTAGTCATTACTAATTCATATTCTAATACCATGGATGATTGTGCACTGTGCAGGAGGCAACAAGATTTTTTTCCTACTAAGTTTAGTATGATTTTGCTATGCGATTGATAACTCATTATTAAACTATTCGATGGTCATAAATGAAGCCTGCACATAGTTATTGAATTTGTCTACTTATCGTGATCACACTGTATTAATATTTCTTATTTAAGGTACTATATACTATATAGAAATCATTAAAGTCGCGATGACGGAAATTACACTTTATTAATTAATATGTAGCTGGTTGGGACATTAATTTTGAATATATTTCAAACGTATATCTTATATTACACAATAATATTATGATAATGTGTTAAATTATGGACGACAAGAGTCAAGATTGATTGTAAACTTTAAAGAAACCTTAAAGATTTCGAAAAAAACTATTTTTATCTATATTTAAGGAAAAAAGAAAGAAATTGATTTTTTTTCAAAAGAACGAGAAACAGCACGAATTATTTTATGTAATAAATATTAAATACCATTTCAGGTAGTCTGCAATATTTATTCACACCTCTGGGAAATGTTTTTTCTTTGCTCTTGTTGGACCGTATTGGTCACAAGAAGTGTATGATAATGACAAACATACCGTGCCTAGTAGCTCAGGTCATACTGTATTACGCCAAAAATGTAGAAATGCTGTACGCCAGCTCAAGTCTGATGGCCCTGAGCATAGGGTTTCTGAAGGCCCCCAGTATTAGTTACACCGGGGAAGTATGCGAGCCGAAACTAAGAGGCACCTTGACTTCGTCAATGAACGTATTTTACTATGTGGGAACCATAATATTGACTATGATGTACAGTATTACCAAGAAATGGAGATTAACGGTGATAGTGGCAATGGTGTTTCCAATTTTGACCATTATTATATTATTTACGGTAATCGGGTACCAACATAATCGATATTGCTGTAGGTCTCAATGATAATATCATCCAAAAATCATGATGTGTTATAGGCACCGGAATCTCCGATGTGGTTACTGGCCAACGGAAAACATTCAAAAGCACACCGAAATCTCCTCAGATTGAGAGGAAAAGTATCGCACGAAAAATGTGAAAATGAATTTCAAGAAATGATTAAATACAATGTGCCTGCTAAAAGTGACAAACCGAGTAATATAACTAATATGCTATACCTTGCGTATATTATTTTGTTCTATTTTCAATTATTTTGTTTAATTTTATATTTTTAATTTGTTTTAATACTTACTCACTTTCTTATAGATCATAACAATAATACAAATGCTTGGAAACAACTTTTTAAGCCTGAAGTACTAAGACCATTTCGTTTAATGATGCTGTATTTCTTCTTCAAGAGTTTATTTTCTGTATTAACATTATTACCGTATTTAGTATCAATATTTAATAAATTTGGCGCACCCGTAAACGTGGAATGGACAATAGTTAGTGTTTAACAAATCAGGTTATGGCCTGATTTTACTAGTAAACGTTATTTAAAAAATATATTTAATTATTTTACAGTTGTATTTTATAGTCCTATTAATGTATTGGATTGTATTTTCAGTCATTTACGATGAGTCTTTGTATAGCAGGCAGTGTAATGGCAGTTTTTCTAATACGTACATTGGGAAAACGATTTCTAACGTTATTTGCATTATCGGTTTGCTCCGTTTGCTATATAATATTGGTCTAATCGGTGTCAATTGGACAAATACGGAACCATTAAAATCTTGGATAGTACTTATACTTTTTCTTATTAATAATTTAATTTCATCGGCTGGATTAACGCCAATTGCTTGGGCACTTATGACAGAAGTATTTCCTGCAAAGTAAGTTAAAATATATGTATCTAAAATAGAATATAGGTATTTCATATTAATACAGTTACTTATGCAAAATCTTTTTAGGAAACATTTATTAATAATTATTATACAAATGTGCAATATTGAACTTATTAAATATTTTAAATTTTAATTAACTTATCTATACTTTAAGTATAAGTGTTACAAACTTACAAGACCATTCAAATAATATTTACTTCATGAAATGTTTGTAGTAGGTATACCTTATCATGCTACTCAAAAATATTATATTGCATTTTTCATCTTTAAGATTTATTTTTTACTATAAATGATGACATTTTTTTTTTTTGATATTGATTTCAGGAGCAAGAACATTGCATGCAACCTTAGTTCAACATCATTCTTTGTGATCACCTTTTTTATGACAAAATTTTACCCAGATTATTCACATTTAGTGGAGTTTTATAATGTATTTACTATAAATGGTATTATTGGTTTATTTGGCTGTATATATTTCTATTTTTGTTTACCAGAAACCGAAAACAAAACCTTACAAGAGATTTCCGAATTTTTCAAATAGAATTTAAAGCTCAAATGTAAAATTTATTTTCTTCACTATATAACAGTCTCAGTGAGTTTTGCTCTAGCAAAGACAATTTAAAACAGATAATTCCCACACTTAGAATTTTTTTATGGGTTTGTTATTGTTCATGTAATTTATGTTTTTTCGTACGTTTCTGATATTTTTAACCTGTAAATTAAGTTATTAATTAGTTTATTTTAAATGTTAATTTTTCCTGACACAATTCTTTAAATGTATGTATTCATCAAAATTGTGAAATGTCTTGGAAGATATATTTTATAAACCTTTGCCCTTTCACTCCTTTATAATTATTAAATAGTTTGTCCTTAAATTATATACTGTCCTTTCAAAGACGTAACTGCCGGATGTAAAATTGAGTTTTGATAATATTAACATTCATATGCCGGGTTGCATAAACAATTTATTATATTTAATGGTTCACTAAAAATGTAATGGACCAATCACGGGCTACTAAATATTGTTTAAGGGACCATTATAGCTCACTATTGATTCATTAAATGTTTTGTTCAATCCAGCATTAATATATTAATATAATATAACAGGCCTTAATCCGTTATCAACATTTTTAAAATAATAAAAACAATTTTGATACCTGTTACTGGCTTAAAACCTGTCCTTGCGTTAGTAGTAACCTATATTATGCAATATTACCGGTACTATACAGGGTGATTCTTTTATCATTGAACACTCATTATTTCAAGAAGTGTAAAAATTTTTGAAAATATTATTTTACATAGATTCAAGTCGTGTACAAAACAACGTTTTCATTAAAATATTATATTTTAAAATATTTTTTATCCTTATAGTTTTTTAAGTTTTTTACTTTTTTGAATGATTACATGGAGTTTTAATTTCATATAGCAAAGCAGAATATTTGTCTTAGTATTTTGAAACATATAAATAGAATTTAGAGCGAGTAGTTTATGACTCATAAATTATGAATTATAAGTAGATGAGTTTAAAGTTTAGATGAGCGGAGTAATGGACAAAAGTTACGAGGGGTAACCTCGCACTACCCCACTCCGCTCATCAAAACTTTGAATACTTATACTTATATAAAACTTATTTGCTTACAATATCAAATACATGTCCAATAGGATTGTCACTTGTTTGAAGTTGATCTAAAAATATGATATTATCATAGGTATATTCGTATTATTAATTTCAACGTCAATCTGCAAGCCTACCACTTTGGTTTTTAAAATTATGTTGACTAACCTAATATATGATACGAGCTGTATTCTAATTTATATTGAAACACCAATTTAAGGTACATTTCTACCCATAGTTAAAAAGACGTTGGTGCAGGGATTCACTAAGCCCCTGACCCCAATGATGCATGAGGGATCGGTCTTCTGTCACAGGACAGCCTCCCTTCTCACGCTCAAACATCTGAGTTTCATCTTGTATTCATCATGATTCATCTTGTAAATATTTCCCGTAATTATCCTATTTGCTTATTGTACATATGTTACAGACTGTAAATTTTCTATTTTAAATAAAAAGAAAAAGAAAACAGAAAATTAAAATTATCATAACTACTATTTTGACTTTGCATCATATGGCTTAACAATTTACTGTATTTGCAAGTATCAGAAAATAACCAATTTAAAATGTACATAGGTACGTATTTATACATATATAGTGGGTTGCAATAATAATTTTAAAAGTACCTGGATAGTACAAGTGGATTTTAAATATTTAGATTGAGAGAAAACTTGTGTCATAACTACGATTATTTTATGCAAGTTATAGATTGAGATAACACCATCTAATAAAAATGTATACGGTTACACATCATTAGGTTTACTCTCGCCATGCCAGGGCAAAAGCATGCGGTACATTGGTCGCGACCTAAACTTGCGATAATATCACACATTTATTAATCGTGGCGCAGTGTGGCACGGTCCGTACGACCGTACACTCAACTGCGGAAATGCTCTGAGTGCACGTACCGGCCGGATGGTTGCAGGGCTTAAGCTCGATAGAAAAAAACCTTGTGTGCTTAAGACCACACGACAGAAGTGAAAACTTCAACAAGGCGAAATTAATAATACGAAATACAATTTTTTTTGCGTTCTATATTGATAAATTAATAACTTTTGCAATGTAGGTACTTAATTATAATTGTGTATAAATTACTCCAGTGAATTTTGCTCTGAGTGGCCTTCATCTGCATCATCATACTCTAAAAATGAAACTATAGGTTTATGGTAACTGAAATATGAAATGTATATTTTTGAATGGAATGTATTTTCTAAATAACTAAAAAAACTTCGTCAATTGTTGTTCCATATTTCGTCGTACTGTCATTCGGATCATTTGACACATTCAAATTTAATATTGATTTGAGGGGGAGGGGGGGTCAAAAGTACCGCGACTATGGGAGGACTATTTAGAGGGTCTTGAAATAGAATTTTTGGTGGTAAAACGAAGGACCCAAGTCGAAACGCGACAGAGATATACTTAAATCAAAAAAAAAAGGGTAGGGTAATTGTTGATATGTTATATGCACGTGGCCGCCCACATTCCATAGCCGTTTACAAAATACGACGATCCCCAGCTGCGATAGGGCCTTAGGGATGATGGGAAAATATGTCGATTTTCCAAAAATAATAATAATAATAATCACTGAATAACCACATATAAAAATAGTCGACTCGAGCCGACTTCACCCGAATGAGAGTTACGTAGCCGAGTGTGACGGCTCAGTTCAATTCAGTACCCACAAAAAGTGCTAAACGCGAATAAAGAAGTTTTCACTTCAAAAAAAAATATTTATTTATCACATAATATTAAGGTCATACAATAAATGCTTACCACAATTATCGGGCACCTATGCTACACCTAGATCTACATTCTTGTCAAATAAAAAAAACTCTTTTAATATTTATAACGAATGCACTTGATTATGGACCTCAATAACAATTTGCGAGTAAGGAACACATTAATTTTATTCACGGACAATTGGTCCTCGACCAATATTTTTTCCTGAGTCAATGAAAACTTTTAAAACGTTTTATGTTAAAAAAAATATTTTGTATTTAAGTATTTAACTTTTTAATTATTTTTACTTTGTTCAGTGTGGCGGAAATAGTTAATATTATATAAAACATTGGATATTTATTTGAATTATATTCTATAAGAACGTTTTATGAAAAAAAAAATGACCGCATGAGGTGTTTTTAAGCGGACCAATATTCCTAGATCCTTTTCCGAGGAATACGAAGAGGAAAGATGCATATCACGGCACCTATATTATTCACAAGTTCACAAGTTCTTTGTTGGGTTATACAGTTATTTATATACTTCTTCAATATTGTCCTTGATTATTACTCAAAACGTATTGTGCTTATAAAATATTATCATGTGAGTGTATATAATATGTATTAGTATTTTAAATGTGAAGTATTGATTATGATTGTGGATTATCGCCGCACTTCGTTGATTATATTTACATATTGAAAGGTGTGTGTACAGTCCAACTTAAACCTCGGTGATTGTTTATTGTTTTTTAGCAGGTTTATCGTAAAAAATTTAATTTAATATAAAGTGTAGTGTTTGGAACGCATATTATATAATACATTAATATTATATTATATAATATGATAATATTTTATGTAATGAAAAACCGTAGGTACTAGAATATAAACGCAAAACTACATATGTTATAATGTTTCCCACTCGACATACCCAATTACCTACTAAGAATCGTGTTCAGAATATTTGTGTCCATTGCTAATTTTTTAGTCTGTGCGTGTATTCTTTATGCATTCTTAAACCATTCATCCGACTGCAATGAAATTTGGCACAGAGAGAAATTAGACTTTTGATAAGAAGATACCTTAAAAAAGGGTAAATTAGAGGTCCGACCCGGGAAGGTGCCCAGACAGGGATTTTGAGATTTAAGATGAAAATTTTTGTTTATAATTGGTTGCTATTGATTTTAATAATAATAATTAGATATTGTTAATGCAATAAGCCGTTGGCGCTATGAAACTTCTATGTATTTTAGTACAGAATGTCTCAAGATCGAGGCATGGTTTCGGTATTCGGTGGACCAATTTGTTGCATTGTCTTAACATTGTTTTTTCTTATTTTTACTTTTTAATTTTTCTTCTTTATCTATACATATGAATGTTTGGTTTTTATTACGGTTAGGTTAAGTTAGGATTTCATATTTATTTTCTGTAGGTTGAATTTATTAAAAAAGACAAACTTGTTTTGTTGAACAACCACAATTTTTTTTCCGACCAACGCCTGGTAATTCAGCTATACTCTGTTCGC